GTCAAGGGCCAGCGCCCCGCCTGCGAACCAGGTGAGGGGGTTCAGGCCCCTCAGCAGCCGCAGCCACAAGGGCTGCGGCTTCGGCTTGATCAGCCTGGCGCCGCCAAAGCCGCCGCCGCCGCCGCCCGCCGCGCCCCTCTTGCCGAGGGCCACCTGCATCTGCAAAAGCGATGTGAGGTGGAGGGGACAGTCAGGGGGGAGGGGTGCAGGCAAAGGCGGCGCCGGATAGCACCTGCTAGGGCCTGGGGTTTGCTCCTTTGCAGTTGGGGTGGGGGGTTGAAAGTGGGTCTGGTTTCGGGGACGGGGGTTTGAAATTCGGTCTGGCGTTCCGCGTGGATTGGCAGTTCTGCAAAGCTTGACGGCAGGGGGGTTGATTGAGATTGCACACCTCGCCAAGCACTTGGTCAATTCCCAGCCCCACCAGAGCCCCCCCTTGGGATCGCAGCAAGGACCACAATTTTCTGAATGCTTGTCAGCATGCAGCCGCTGTGGTTGCCACGGCCCAGGCCGCCCACTCCGAACAGCAGATTTTCGGGGAAAGTGGGCTTTTGCCAAGGGATGGCTCCCTCCCCCAACCATCTAAAAAGCGCAGGGAGTAGCAGCAGCACAGGAATTTGGGTATCAACCTTACAAGCCGGGTGCAAATTCTTTTGACCATCTCACCGTCTGGGCCTCAAGTTGCTTCTCCAGCTCTGTCTGCGCCCCTTGGCCGGCTGCGGCGGCGACCCCGCCGTCGTCGCTCTCGTCGTCGCTGTCGTCGTCTTCGTCCAGGATGACCTGGTGCCAAGTTTCGTGTGATACATACGTAGTCAATGTTGCAACTTGGCGCATGAAAGCAGGGCACAAGCGGCAGGCATAAGTGATGACGATGCAGTCAAACCCTGGTCAAACCTGCTTGCTGGCAAGGGCTCGCAGAAAGCCGGCTGGTAAGACCAGGAAGAGGCTGAAGAGATTGTAGCGCTGTAGGCAGACCTGGCAGTATGTAACATGTACATGTGTGTGTGTGTGTGTGTGTGTGTGTGCGCGCGCGTGTGTGTGTGTGTGTGTGTGTGTGTGCGTGTGCATTCGCGGGCACGTGCACATATGCGCACGTGTGCGCTCGCACACACGTGCGTGTGTAGGCGGGCACTTGCATGTGGATGCACGCGGACATGTGTGTGTGTGTGTGTGCGTGTGTGTGTGTGTGTGTGTGTGTGTGTGCGTGCGCGTGTGCATGCGGGTGCGCATGCGGGTGCGCATGCGAGCGTTTGCAGGAAGATAACGGGTATAGAGTCAAGGATCATGACACCGGTAGATAAGTGTTGGCATTTGAGTCTGTCTACTGCTCAACGCCAACCGCGCATATGCCTCAGCAGCCCCCCTCCCTTGGCCCCCTGCACACCTTGGTCATGAGGTGTGCGACGAATGCGGTGGCCGCCACAAATAATGCACAGCCCTCCAGTGCCAGGAACACATCCATGCTGCTGGCCACCTGCCGCAGGGGGGAATGCATCAAGGCGGATGCATGCAAAAAGGTTGATGGGCGCAAGCTGTGGAGAAAAGCGGGGTGGCAAGGCCCCTGGTAAGATGCAGAGCGAGGCAGCAGAGAAGGTAGGGGTGCTGAGGGCAGGTAACTGGAGTGGCCGCACATGAAGGACATGGGGTGCGCTGCGAGGTTGTTGATGGGTGCGGATGTTGCAGGCTCGTGGATGCGAGCCCATTGTAAGAAGGGAAAGCCTTGCACGTCGTGCCGTCTGCCCCTCCAAAGCATTTCACCTGCATGACCGCCCCACAAGCTTCCAGTTCGCATGCAATAAATGTGAGTGCCCACGCACGCACACACGCACGCACACACGCACGCACACACGCGCGCGCGCACGCACGCACGGACGCGGACACACACATGCACTCTCGCGCAGAGATCGTGAATCTCACGTTTCCCATCTTGGCCAGCGCCCTCTCAACCAGCCCGTACAGGGTGGTCCTGTAGCCCTGATAAACCGCCCAGGGACCGTTTGCCATGACAAACTGCCACTGACGGACCTCCTTCAGCTGCCTGGTGGCAGGGGCAGGGCATGGTGGAGGTGCAGCTGGAAGAGACCATGGAGAAGAAGAGGTGGGAGGGCCAGTTGTTGGGTGGGTTTCAACTCAACCCCTTAAGCAACCTCCAATCGCCCTTGACAACAGAAATGGCAGAAGAGGTAGAAATCCAAGCCCGCACCTGCCGGCGGCAACCATGGCATCGCTGTTCTCTGCCACCTCCTTTGCGGCGGCAACCAGGTCTGACCCAAGCTCCCACAGCGGCTGCAGCTCGGTGTGGGTCGAGGGGGGCACAGTATCTTCGAACCAGGTGGCGTTCCACATATCAGTCTCCCAATAGTCCCTGAGTTGGTACCTAGTTGTAAAGTTGGTATCGCAGGCGCAGCAGTGGCAGTAAGGACCCTTCCAGGACCTCAGACGTCACACGGCCAAGCCCCCTAGCCTGTCAGCTGGGCGCGCACACCGCAGGCTGTCCCTGCAAGATGCATACTTGCACGTGGCAAATGACTCATGCCTCATACCCCCCGGCTGTACAATGTGTGTGTATCCTGCCATGCTGGCAACGTCAAGCTTTGCACTCCCCACAAGCGTAAGGATTAGTCACGAGGCAGCGATTAGCGAGGTCCATCTCAGGCTCCCTCAGGTGCATGATCGCTGCTGACTGCTTGACCCTTGACCGGACCAATGAACGCCTGCGCTAGAGCGGCCCCCACCGCGCCCGCGCGTTGCCCGCCCCCGGCGCGTGCAGCTTTTGCACTCGGCTCACTTTACTCTGTTCTTGAAGCGCCGCAGCTTCTTTTGCCTGCCAAAGTACGTCGTCTGGTGCTCCGCCTCAAACACGTGCACGGCGTCCTGCCAGCGGGTAGGGGGCCGAGGGCGACGGCGGGGAAGGGCAGTCACTCCTGCAACGCAACCGAGTCTAGCAGAAAGTCCTTGTGGGTTGCTCGGTCCTTGTGGTTGCGAGTATGTGTATGGTAAACCCTAGCAGCCATGCCGCGCGCGACGCATGGGCAAGGGAACAACGCGCGTCGCACGCTGCCAGCCGTGCGCGCAGCCACGCTGTGCTTGGGTGAATTAGAGGATGTTGCCTTGAATGGCGTCCGACGCAGCCTCGGGCGATTGGGCCGAACAGAACATGGCCTCTTGCAGCCTTTGCACTTGCTTTGAATATTGGCAGGCAGCTGCAGGCCGCATCCAGCTGCGTGCTGTGCCCCTGGGGTTGGAATCACCTGCATCAGGGCAGTCCAAGAGGCAAGGTCCTTGGTTTCGAATATTCCATCATGCTCCACGCCCGCATGGAGCTGCTGCAGCACTCTGGAGGCACCAAAGGGGCCGGGGAGTGAGGGGAGGGGGCGTTGCCCTTGGACGGCAGCCAAGCACATAGTCGGCAGGCGTGAGCGAAGACCGGCGTGCAAACTGTCATGGCGGGCGCGCATGGGCGGCCAGGTTCCGGGGCGCCGAGCAATTGGATGCAGGCAGGGCGGAGCAGGGGACAGGAGAGAGGCACTGCAGCACGGATTGCGCCGACTGCGCCGAGGAGGTCGCCTGCACCGCCCCGGCCCCTGTGCAGTTGCATGCGGTGCTGAAGGCGCGCCTGTTGTCGATGAGCATCCTGTGGAGGCCTATAACTGCGGAGCCCGCGTCATCCACCTAAGGGGATGACGGATTCGGGTTGCAGGGGCCCCGATGGTCAGATGACAGCAGCGTGTTGGCCGTCAAAGGGTGTAAGACAAGCGGTGAGAAAGGCTGCCAGAAGCTTCCAGGTTGCCGTCAGAGCCGGGTGTGTGGTCCTAGGGTTACCCGTCACCCGTCACCTGGCGGATAACCAGTGACTGAGTGACTCACCTCGTCAATGTATTGCGCCTGGCCCCCGATCATCACGATGCTGGTGACGAAGCAGGCGGTGTGGGCCACCATGATGCCCGCGATCAGCAGCATGGTGCGCCAGTGGAACCTGACAGGGTTTAATGTTTTTATAATTTAGGGTCGAACCACACGGGGGCTCAGCAGATGACAACTGTGCAGTGTGCGCAAAGTACACTGTGTGTGTGTGCTCGCGCGTGTGCGCGTGCGTGAGCGCTTGTGAGCGTGCATGTGTGCTTGCTTGACGGGATTGGACAGAATAATCAGGCACACACTGCATGGAAGAAGGGCGGGCTTGAAGGGGTTGCCAACTCGAAAATATGTAAAGCTTCGCAGGGGCAGGGGTCGAGCGGGAGTGCAGCCCCCGGCGCACCTGTTGGCCGCGGCCTGCGCCTTCTTGCCCAGCATCATGCGGGCCAGCTTTCGCATCCGTTTGCCGCGCCTGGGTGATTGATACATATGGGCGAATAGAAAGGGATGTGTGTGCATGAAGCCGCTTGTGTGCTTGTTTGTGGGGGAGGTGCACGTGACCCTGGCCTGGAAAAGCGCATGCCCACTTGCATTTGATGAGGGTGCAAGGGATGCAAACTCATGGTTGCCTGGGCTGTGCGATCTAGGTGGTTGGCAACAGGTGCAATATCGGTGGCTGGTCTAGATCTCAGATCAACAAGATCAGTCCAGATCACCTGAAGTCGGACTGATAGCCACCACCCTCGCTGCCCTCCTGGGCGCTGCTGGCCTCGTCGCCTCCAGAAACCTGCGCGTGTGTGTGCGCCGCTGTTGATAGCAGCAATACATCACATAGATCCGCATGACAGCATCAGACGCAACTGCCCGTTCTGTGCGCGTGCACATCGCAGTACGGCGCCCGTGCCCAGGCGCCGCGTTGCGTCCAGGTAGCGCGTGGCATCGCCAAAGAGCCAGGGGCGGACGGATCACATTAACAAGCTGAGGCTGGGGTAGCACTAGGCGGGCAGGCCTGTCGAGTCGTTGTTGTGAGACCCCTCAATCCTCGACACCCTCGCACCTGCGACATGGCCTCTTCCAGCCCTCCCGTTCCCGACCCCTCGCGCGCCGTCAGAGCAAACCCCTCGGGCACCGCGCCGCCACCGGCGCCGGCGGCGTCGCTGGCGGCGTCGGCGCCGTCGTCCGCGTCACTGGCCTGGGGGTTCACAATTTCGTGGACAGCTTCACGTCAGACCATGTGCACTTCATAGCAGAAAAAAAGTCACATGTGACATTCACAACGCTTTGCAAAGCCGACAAGGTCAACTCACCTGGCGCATCAACCCTGCCTGCACACGCCCGTATTAAACAAGGCCCCGCAAGAGCCCAGCCGCGGCGCCGCAGCCACCGTCGCTGTCATGTAACGCTGAGCGACACACGCGCCCGCCAATACTCTGTCAATCAACCCCCTGCTCACCGGGCGCGACTTGGCCCAGTCGCGAGTCGCACGCGGACCCCTTGCACTTGCCGACAGCAGAGCAGCTGCCTCCTCCGCCGCGCCGCCCTCGTCATCGCCCCCGCCGCCCATCCCGCCCTCGGAGCCCGACCCTGAAACGTCATCCTCCCTTCCATCATGGAATGCTCCGCCGCCGCCGCCGCCGCCGGGGTGGCTGGAAAACGTGACGCCGCCGGCGAGCGACACGCGGGCCGCGGCAGGCGCCGGCGCGGCGGCGACGGCGCGGGGGCCGCCAATCACTCGGCTGTCACGGCCGGCAAGGTCCTGTGTGTTTGGAGGGCCGTGATTGCAGTTGGCAGACATCCAGGTCGTCGTTTGCTGTGACGTGGTCAAAGCACGCCCCCAAACCGACAAACTCGGACAAGCACCCCGTCACAACGGCCCCGGAGCACGACTGCGCCACAAGACACCGACCCTGCATCAGCGCAGCAGCCACGACGGCCCGCGCGTGCGCCAAACGGGGCAATCTGCCCCCCTCCCCTGCTGAGCGCCTCAGCTTCCCCACCTGCCCCGTCCCTGCCCCTGCCCCAGCCGCCGGGTTTGGCGCCGTGACGTCTGCCAGGCCGAGCATGCGGCGAGCAAAGTGGGGGCTGCCCTTGGAGGGCTTCTCCACCGTCAGCTTGACGACCAGCACTTGGCCGGTGACGCCCTCCTTCACGACCGCCTGGGGGTGAATGCGTCGGGCGTGAAGGTGGGTGTGAAGTGCGACGTGCCGAGGCGCGCTGACATGTGCGCCTGCGCGCGCACACGCATATGCACTCGGCCCGGCCGAGGCAGCCGCCCCATTACCGACCTTATGCGACCCCCAGGCAGGCAAGAACGCTCCCCTTCAGCCTGTGTGAGTCACAGGTCCTTCCCCTATTGCCGGCCCCCTTGGCCCCACCCCCACTCGAACAGCACTCGCCTGCACCGTCGCCGCCAGCTGGTCGCCGTCAACGTGGCGCCCTGTGCAGTGCCTCAGGGGCCCGATCTTCACGTCTGGGGCGGAGTGCATACATGATTAGGCGTTGGGCCGGGACGGGGCGCGGGGGAGGGGGGTAGTCTGGGAGCGAGGCGTCCAGTTTTCACACAATCGGCCAGGCCCTGCGACGCAGGGGCCTTGGCGGCTCGCCCCAGGCGGCTCAACCTCCGCGGTTGCAAAGCGCACAGCTTGCCCAGCGGCCAGGCTCAGCACTGGAAGGCGCTGCAAGCCGGACGGATCTAAAGCTATGAAAATCGCGGCGCACCGCGGGAGGCTCGTGCCACAAGCTCTCAACCCGTCCTGCTCACCCGCGGCGCTCATCTTGAGCGCGCCCCGCTTGCCGCCGGCCGCGCCGCGTGTGCCTTTGGCGTGCGGCCGCTTGTCCTCCAGCAGCAGGCCGTCGTACCTGCGGGGCAGCGGTTAAAAACCACGGTCAAAGCTGCGCATGCATGCCCGCCACGAGCGGTGTACGTGTGTGAGCTTGGCGCGCGCTGTCGACTGTCGTGCTGATCTTGAGACAGGGTTACGGCACGGAGCCCCGCCCTCATATCCCATGCAGCCAGTGCAACAAGGAGCCCCCGCCCCAGCCGCTGCCGCGGCCAGGTGCTGCGGCGCGCCGTCTGTCCACGTGCGCCTGCCTTCTCCTCCGGGGGTCGAGCCCGCTCCGCCGCCTGCGGGGTGTCAGTCTCAGGACCAAATTCCCCCCTCGGGTACGGCTCACGTGTGTGGGACGCTGAGCCAGCGAGAGAGGGGAGTCCTCAGCATCGCATTGGAGGGTACGCCAAACACCAGCCCTGCGGCCCGGCAGGCGGGGGGAGTGGGCAGCGGGGGCGATGCGGCGGTGAGGCAGGGTCCGAGTGCCGTGCGGACATTGCTTTGATGAGGGCCCGGGAGGGCGGCGGAGGTGAGCAGCTGCCCAAGGCGTGGGCGGCCGGCGAGCCGCACGAGCGCCGCGCTGGGCAAGGCACTGTTGATCTTGTTGAGCTTGCCAATCCTCAAGCGGCCCGGGCTCCCCGGTCGCCCCGTTCGTCAGAATCTGATCAACTACATGGCAGCCAGAACCCAGCACTGACATGTAAGTGCAGCACCCCGACAGTTCACTGCTGCACTGCACTGCGCCGCGCTGCGGTCCCGCAGCGCACCCCAGCCCAGACCCCAACTCCTTCGGAGCCGGCCGGCCATGCTCAGGGCAAAGCACTCGGCCCCCCTCCCCTCCCCCCCACCCGCCTACCTGGCTGGTGCAGGGCGCAGCAGCCGGCCTTGGTGATGATCTGGTCCTTGTCGACCTCCACGACGGCGCTGATCATGTCTGAGCGCCACAGGTGGAGCTCAAGGGACGCCACGCCGCCGCCATGGTCCTCGTCAGCTTCCTGGTGAGGGGCCGAGTGGTTTTGGTGGGTTTCATGGGTTTGATGGGCTTGGCGTGTAATTCGACGCTCTGCTGGTCGATGAGCAGCGGGGCTGGTGCGGCGGGGGGTTTGGTGGGATGTAGGGGTTCTGGCGCTTTGTGGTTGGTCTGGGTCGGTGTGGTGTTTGTGGAGTTGGATGAATGGAGGTTCGTAGTGGTGTTGGGCGTGTGGGGAGCGGTGTGGTGTTTGGCGGTGCGGGAATTTTGGCTAGGGTGGGTGGGGGCAGGTGTGCTGTGGTGGTGGGTGGGCCAGGGGGCCGCACGCTCAGGAGTGGTGAGGGTTGGAGCGTGAAGTTTGGGGGTGCAGGTGGGGTGTGCGCACAGCTTGTGTCGGTCGCTGGTTCAGATTGCAGGGTTAAAGGTTGAGCCAATGATTATGAGATGCCCATGGGCTGCCAGGCGCCCTGGAGCCTCTTGGACTCAGCGCTGGGCATGGAGCCCGGTCAGACAGGTGTTCGGCCCACCCCAACAGGTGATGATGTCAGCATGACACCTCACTCATGGTGATGTCATCATCATTGCTGGTCCCCATCACACCCGATTACCTCGACGGTGAGCTCCATCCTGGCGGCGCGCGTCTGGTTGGCCAGCAGCAGCGCCTGCAGCGCGTTGAGGCCGCCGCCGCCGCCGCCGCCGCCCGTCGCCGCATTGGGCACCCCGTCCGTGGTGCTGGCATCCGCTGGGGGCCGCACTCCGCAGCGCCAGCTGGTCTCTTTCCGGTCAAGGGTCCTGTCGGGAGTGGTTGCCACGCGGGGCTTTGATATCATATATAGACGGTCGATGCGCGTGCGCGGGTGTCAATGGCACACAAACTCACAAGGCGGAATGCACACGCTACAACGGGAAGCGGCCCTTGACTGTTGGGTGCAAAAACAGCCTGGAAAGCCACAATGTGTGGCTACATCACAGACCGCACCCCAACGTCTCCCCATAACACCCTTCAAAGCCCCTGCATTAGCTCTTGCCCAACATCACAAACCTCAAATCACTAAAGACTGCGATACAACCCCAAACCTCGGCCAGTATTCTGTCAACCGTCATTATCAGTCACCTGTGCACCATGGCCTCCAGCACGTGCTCCACGTCCAGCCCCTGGGGCCCGCTCCGCACCGGCAGTCCGGCAAAGCAGTCCAGGAACTCCCGGACGTTCCGCCCCACCAGCCGCGAGGGGGGGAAGCCGAACAGGGACCCAGGGGCGTCCGAGGCGGAGAGGACGTTGCCGGCGGTGTCGAGCTTGAGGGACAGGCGGCGGAGGGAGACGGCCGAGTCCATCGGCAGGGGGTTGACCTGCCAAAGGTGGGTTCACCGGGGATGCAAGCCGATCAAGGGAGTGTCAGGCGTTAATACTGTGAATTATTCAGGACAGGCAGGCGGCAGGTTCAAAGCCAGACGCAGCTGTGTATGGCCTTGTCTGGCCAACAAAAAATCGTGCTCAAGAGGTTTTGTCGCACTTTGCGGACAAGAGTCGTGTTGTTAGCAGACAGCCCAATAAAGGCGAGGGTTCGTGGTGTATACAGTGATCAATGTGTGGATGACAACATATGAGCGTGGCGGCCGCTCTGGCGTTGATCTGCACCCACCTTGACCACAAAAGTGAGCTCGTCCGCTGTCTCCCGCGGCGTGACCTGCACCGTCGCCGGCACGGGCGCCTTCTGGGCGGTGAACAGGATGACAGGCGCACCCGCGCGGCAGCTGCGGGCCGGGGGGGCGCTTTGCTCCTGCGCACGCCGGTGG